TATGTATTTCACGTCATCTAGGAGTATTGTTGCCTCTCTTCCTGTAAAGAAAGTAGATTTGACTTTAGGCTTGGATAAAATTGCATAGTCAAAACAGGTCTCTGACCAGTGTTAACCTTTGTGTAAAGATACTGTTCTCTAGGGTGCAAAGTGCTGAGTAATTTGTTCCCTTTATCACTGCTGAAGCTGCTTTGTAGTGCTTGTTGGAGTCAAGTATGAATTGTCTACTGGCTTCTAAGAGAAAAACCTTCAGACTTTGCATAAAGCTTTCCATTTATAGCCACTGTTGGCTCAAAGACCTTTCCTTCCCTGGCAAAATAGAACAAATATTTGTCACTGCATCTTTTCAGACTTTGCTGTTAATTTGCAGTGGCCTGTTGGGGATTTCTCTCTTTTCAGCAGGCCCATTGCCTTGATGTCAGATGCATCAGATTTAACCCAGTTCCTAGGCAGGGCAGGATTGTTTTACCATTAATGATCAGCGAGGGCATGTTGGAGTGCAGCATGTTTGGAAACCACTGGGCTCTGTAGGGCAGATAATTGAAGCTTTAATTGCAGGGGGGGTGCTTGTCTGCTTCATTTATTTACAGCCCTCAAGAATTTACTTTCAGACCTTGCCAGCTATTTGCCTGCCTTAATGTTCCTGACCTCCCTGTTAGCTATTCTGCCTGACTTAAACAGCGTTCAACCAAGCCTGAAGGAGCATTAAACAATTTAGCACTTTGGCTCCTAGAGATTCACAACAGAGGACCTGTTTCATGAAGCAGAGGAGACTATTTCCAACAGCCAAAAGGTCTGGACTTGTTTGCTTGGATGGTTTGCTTTAGTTCTGGGGTTTTCAGGTGCTGTTTGTTTTGCAAAGGAGATGGGTAGAGGTTTGCCCACGTTTCCAGGGGGAAGATGCAGTAGCCTGGGCAATGTTAATGTTTTTCCTGTCTGCTGCAGCTCTTAAGAAGCTTCGTCTTTCAAGGAGTTTGATCTGTGATTTGCCTTCCCAGACTAGTAGGTACTGGTCCAGCATGCCATATACATGTGTGGGGGAATAAACTCTGCAAGCTTAACACTTAATATTCATCGTCACACACATGCTGAAAAAAGGCTTTAATATTTTTAAAACACTACTACTTTTTCTTACGAACAGATGGAGTTACAGGGCCCATGAGAATACACTGAACTACAGATATAAATACTTGAAGATGTTGAGTGAAGATTCTTTCCTAAAAGATTCATAAATTGTTAATTGTGGCTTTTGTACAGATTTGTAGTAATTTTCTTATTTAATGAAGTTTTCATTGTGAATACGTGCTCAGCTGGGGCATAGATCATAACTCTTGTTAGGGTGATGCGTGGTTTGTCATTGTGTTTAATAGGATTTCACCGTGAGCCCTGATCTGGAGCGCTCAAACCAAACCATTCCCTATCGTGATCAGGTTAATTTTGGCTGTAGGTGTTTGCAGTGAGTTCACAGGATGTTTCCAGCACTCAGAGCTGTATCACAGAGTCTGTTATGTTAATGTCACCTATTAAAGCATGACTTTAATGCACACCAGTTTCCACTTAGAGTTTTTTCACCTTTGAGGGCAGGACATGACCATCTACCCCATCACCACCACAGGACACAAGCACAGGGATGTCTTTGTGGTAATGGTTTCTATAAGTCACTGTGTCCCTTCAGCTGTGCTCCCTCTGCCTGGGGATGTGGAAGAAGAGCACCGGTCCTTCTGTTGGGTGGGCTTCATAGTGAGTATTCCTAAGGTTCTTCTCTTGCTGGTCATAAGAGGCTCCTATTGTAGCAACCCTCATTGTGGCTTGACATGAGCAACATGTGGCTCTGGAACTTCAATATTCTTTGCCTTCTCTCTTGCCATAATTGTCCTCCTTGTGAAGGAAGAGGTGCAAGCTCTGTGCAAAGAAGTTGTAGTGACTGCGCTGCTCGTCCTCTGTGGGGTTTGTGGTGTCTAATGAAACAAGCAGTTTACTTTGAAGCCATTGAAAACAGACACACACACGCACTCCCTTTCTGTCCCCAGCTGCCTGTTCCACAAAATCTTGTAGGAACTTAGTAAATCTCTGAGCCCTTTATCCCTCTGTCAGGGTTAATATTGGCTGCTGTGGAGCTGGACAGGCACACACTGTGTGCTCGTGTCAACCTCCTGGCGCGAGGATGTCCAGCTGAAACCTGGTATTTCATCTAAGCTTCATTTTTCCACCTCTGCTCTCCTCTTGCTAACCAGATGGGCTGTGTCACTTCAGTCCTGATGAATCTTGTCACCGTTCCTCTCTGCTTCCCAGCCCAAAGGATTCAATTCTTTTGTCAGTAAAGGGAAGCATGAAGTTATGTGCAGGAGATGCTGCTTTGTGAATATATTGCCATTTGGGATCACCCAGCTGGGAACTCTCATCCTGTTTCTTCCTTGCAGATGGCAAAGGCAACTCTTCCTTATATTCTTTTCTGTGGCTCTGAGACTGTTTCTCCTTTTTTCTTCCTCCTTGTATCCACCTGCAGTCATCTGTCCTCTGCTCAGGATTCATCACTTCCTCGAATTGGCATCCTTCACATCTCCCTGCAAAAAAAAGCAAACCCTCATCAGATGTGAATGCACCTCCAGAGCTAATAAACCATCTCACAAAGCAGTAAGTGCATTTCTCTGTAGTGCATCTTGCACTCGTTACAGGCATATTAATTTCTCTAGTGAAGTTGAGTAGCCTCAGGCACTGAACAACTCACTTTGTGTTGCTTTAGCATCTGTCCAGCACAGAGGCGGTGATGGGCTTTGAGAAATGGTCCATATGAGACTTAGGGAACATCTTTCTATCTCCTGCAGCATCCCTGTGTCCGGCCCATCTGTAGGCTCCCTCTGTGCTCAAGGCTGGGGCTGCTCAGCAGGGCATGAATGAGCTGCTCTTCCTGCCTGCCTGCTGCTGCCCCTCCTGCTCCCACCTCCTTCCTAAACCTCCTCTCTCCCTCCTCCAAGCTCAGCCCCTCTTTCCTGTGCTCCTGAGCTCTGCCCCTCGGGCTGGAGCCACAGGTTTATCTGGAGGAGAGGAGTCTCTTTGTAAGCTGAGACCCAGGAGGAGGGATCTGCTGGACCCTGGAGGAGAAAGGGTTTAGCTGCCCTGGAGGAACGGAGAGAGGCAGAGCCTGGGCACCATGGCTGGATTCTCCTCTCTTGGGCTTCTCTTCCTCTGTCAGCTATTAGCCACAACATCAGCTCAGGTAAGAAACCTCATTGATGGCTTATGCTCCAGAAAAAGGTCCATAAGATAATGTGGTGCATGTATGTTTTACCTGCAGGGTGAAATGCGGCAATTTGCAGGTTATTAGAGTGTAAAGTTCATTAAAAACGTGTGTTGCTTGTGCTGTTACACAGAGAGTGCCAAGCAAGCACATCTGGGTTTGTCCCTTGTCCCTGCGTAGGTAAGGATTGTGTTCTCGTGTGTAGAAAGTGCTGCTTTATACTCGATGTGAAAGTGTTATCTTCCCATTCAGGACTGCAGTTACAAGAGAGAAAGACTTGGGAAAGGGGAGATCTGTCCATGTAAGAGGCACAGTTTTCTTTCACTGTGAAGTACAGGTTGCCAGTGAGACTGATCTGATCCGAGTCTTCATCTGCATCAGAATTCCTTACTCCTTCCCTCAATTGACTTTCAAATTTTACACTTATAAAATAGCATATTTAACCCTTGGTCACTTCAGATGTGAAGTTATATTAAACTCCCCTGTATGTCATTAATATTATTGCCTGGGGAAGTAACTCCTCAGTGTGGTTTTTCATTGTGTTAGTGAGGAATTTTTGCAGTCTGGGTCGGGAATTCAGAGCTGCCCTCGTCTGCTGCGAGCAGAGCTGCTTCTACAATGAAACCTTTGTTCCCCGAAGCTACAGCAAGTTGCTCTCTGGAGCCCTCTCCATACAGAAGTCATTGACTGGACCTTTCTTTCCTTCCCCCCACCTCAGACGTGCTCCAAAATCCCAGATTTTCAAATGGCATCATGCTCAGAGAGGAGCATTTCCCTTTCTCCTGTTTTTAGCAGTGGCTGCCCAGCTCTTCCATCACCCCATCAGACTGAGGCTGTAAATTAGTTTTTAATGTCATGCACTTGGCACCTGTTTTCCATGGGCTTTGCATTTCTTCCTCTGCCACAAATGAACCATGCTTGTAGGCAGTGAGAATTTCCTATGAAACCAAACCCATTCCCAGGATAAGCCACCAGTTAAATGAGTGGGGAGCCCTGAGGATGTCCTCAAAGGGTTTTCCTAAAGAGCCTTACACCTGACCTGAGGTCCTCCAAGTCCACCCTGTTTCGTGATGAGCCCTGAGGGATGGGGGGTTAGTGCAGGTTTAGGGTTCAGCTGCAGGATTTAGCCATTGCTTTCTGATTTAGCCCATTTCTGATGTGAAAATAAACTCTTCTCCCTCTCTTCCCCCCAATCCTTTCAGAGAGTAGGACCACAAGGCCCTCCTGGACCACGAGGACCCCCTGGACCATCTGGGAAGGATGGCATAGATGTGAGTGATGTATGGCAGAGGGAGGGAAGGGGAGGAGTGAAGCAAAGAAGCTGCTCCTGTTCTCCAGAGCCCCAGCCTTTGGGCCAGAAGTGGATGGACCTGGAGAAGCAGCCTCCTCACAAGAGTCAGCACAGAGGGTGGAGGTGCTGAGTGGCATCAGGTTCTTTGCAGGATCAATCCCCTGTCTCAAGAGACAGTTCAGGGCAAAGCTAATGAATACACAGGGATTTGTGACCCTGGTTGCAAAGTGGAATATTTCTCTATTGGTGTCTGGGGAGGAAGGGGAATAACACATAAGGTTGAGTGCATGGGTACGTTTGTTGGAGTTACTGTTCTGTAGCTCAGGGGAGGTTTATGTGACACTTCAGAGCATCCACATTTCTAGAGAGGCTCCAAGAAACTCAAATTTGTAGCACTGGACACTGCCTTTACTAGTATTTGGGTTATTTCAGCATTGTCAGTACAGTTATCCCTAGTTTACATTGGCGTGTGAGAGGTCAGAAGCTGGCTCGTGTGTTGCTAGGCATGAGTTGCCTGTAGTGGCACCAAAGGCAACTGAAACAGGCAACCTTAATTTCAGCAGCAGTTCCTTGTTCATACACCCCCTGCAGAGGTAGAAGCTACATACCACAGCACTTACTGGAGGAGAAAAGCTTGTCCTGTTACATTTAATTGATGTTTCCATAGAAATGAAAGATTTTTTTCTGTGCATCTGTTGGATAAGGAATGAGTCGTGTCCTGTAGCTGGCAGGGGATAAAAAGAGTATCAGATGGACCTTCAACAAGACCACATCAAATGCAAAAGGCCAGATTCCTGCTTCAATACTCAGTTTGAGTAGTGCTTGTGTCTCTAAGCTGCCTATGGAATAGGGCAGGTTTTTTAAAGCTTGTCTGAAGGAAGTTTATTGGAATTGGGCCTTTAAGCAGCCTTGAAAAAAATCTGTTCATTCCATGCAGGTCATTTTCTTTTGGATAAGAAGGTAAAAAAAGCTGTGTGAGTTCCCTGGCATATGGTGAACAAGGAGCTTTTTTGTCTGCAGTGGTGAGCTTTCACAGTGGCTCTGTGAGCAAGGCTGAAGAGAGAACCTCATTGATTGCAACTAGTCCCTGTGAAGCGTCCTTCTGAGTAACAGGCTGTTCTGAAAATCTCACTCTGGTTTTGTAGCATGGAAAGTTCAGAGCTGGTCCTTGATGGTTTCTCTGCGCTGCTTTTCATGGTGTGATGAAAGGCTTAAGGGACACCATGGAAGAGGGCAGAGGAGTTCGCACCAGGAGCAGTGAGCCTCTGGAGTCGCTGCAGCAGGACATCAGCATAGCCAGCGGGCTCTGGGGAAGGCTGGCTGTGGTTCTGTACAGAGTGAAAAAGAAGGATTTAGGAGGGACCAAGCCCTCCAGATGTCAAGGGCTGTACAGCTTCTGTGTATAGGTAATGGGAAAGAAACAGGTCCCTGTAACTGTGTTGTTCAGTTCCTGTTGTCTGCAGGATCTTTTACACCTCAATTCTGGAACGGCACCAGCATCACTCCTGATTGCTTTTGGAAACAGGAGCCTGGAGAGATGTTGATCATGTGAACCTGCTCCCTTTTATCCTCTGCCAGAAGCTTCGGAAGCTCCCTGTGGGGCAGGACCAAATAACAACGTCTAATTAACATGAAGAACTTTAGTCCTAATACATCAAACGGCTGAGTGAAATATTTAAGGTGCTGAGTCTTTTAGTCCCAGCTTGAGCCTGGGGTTTATGCTGTGCAGGATCAGTCTTTCATTTGAACAGACCTGATCTCCTATGGATATAGGTTCTCAGGTGCTCTGTTCATATGAGGTGGTCCGGCTGGTCAGGGAGAGGCTCTGGGATGGTTTCTGCTACTCAAGAGGACACTGAGTCCTTTAAGGAATTGCACAGGAGAAGAGACCCAGGGCTGTGGCTTGTCTCGAGCACAGTCACATACTTGCAGTACCCTCCAAAATCATGGCATAGAAAATCCAGCACTGCTCTGCATCTTCATAGTGCTGCATGGAGAGGATCATGTGGAGCCCAACAGAAGCATCAATTCCACCAGCGCAAAGAATGAAACCATTATTTGATTTCTTTAATGATGAGACTTTTTCTAAAGCACAGTCAGAACTTTTCTGGACTATATCTCTGCAAGTTCCCTGAACATTGTGAGCCACCAGCTGGATCATCTTCACAGATGGCTTTGGATGAATGCTGTGTGGGAAGAGCTGCTGAATGGTCTCCGAGTTGGATGAGCACTGCTGAGGTGTTCAACACTCCCTTACCATCGGCTGCAAGCAGTGAGTGGTGCATAACATACAGCTGACTTATTCAGGATATCTCCAAACAAACCCTGGATGAACCCCATAAGCACAATTTCTAGAAGCTCCTGCTTTTATTCCTGCCTTCCCTCAGAAACAAAAGTGGAGTTTGCAACGTGAAGTCCCTCTGAACTGCTTTATAATTACAGCCTTTAACACGCTTCACGTTTCATACTCGCTAACAAGCAGCATCTCTCCCTCCCAAGAATAGAAGCAGCATGTTGTGAGCGAAAGAATTGGCTACAAGTTCCTGTGAATTATTTCTGGGCATGTAATTCCCCAAATTGCTAATGAGCAATTGTCACTTTGCAAAAATCAAGTTGAGTTTTTATTCCCTGCTCCCCGTCTCCTGGCTTGACTTGCTGAGGAAAGAGTAACCCTCCCTCCCTCTCGCCTAGCACCAGGAGAGCATTTCCTCTTGCTGACAGCCTTTGCCTCTAATTCCCAGTGATCTGGCATTAGGGATATAAACACTGATTAGGCTTTTGATTCAGCTAACTGAAGTTGTGGTGCTCCTGCAGAGACCCACAGGGGTCCACGATGGCAGGGTCAAGGTTTAAGATGGTCCCAAACAGCCTTTGCTGATGCTGTGCCCTTACTGCATAGATTGCCATCACACAGGCAAGAAAACATGCAAGGGGCTGGCAATCTCAGGTGATGGAGGAGGGAGTAAACCACCTCTGCTGCCATTTCTAGCTGCCTTTTCAAACCCTTCATTGCAAAAGAATTGCTCCTTTCATTTACTTGGCAGGGGGCCTTCCCCATCTATGATAATGATAACTATTTACGGAAAAATCGGTGGGCAAGGGAGTTGCTTCAGCAAGAGAGAGCATAAAGATCCCTCTGTTCAATGGCCCTCTGGTCTGTGTGTTGATCAGTCACCAATGCAGCACACAAATCCTCGCCTGAGCAAATCAAAGCAGCCAGTCTTGAGAGATTTGCCCACAGACTTCACAGTTGCTGACACAGTAAATATAGAAACAGGCTATAAATTCCACAACTTTGCTAACTGCCATCTGACTCCTAATTATCAGCCCCACGGTGGGGAGGGTGTTATTTCTGTTAATAACCACCCTTTTTCCATGCAGATTTTCTTCCAGGGTATCCACGTGCCCCGTCCCCTCTGCTCACCCACCATACCTGAGCCTCTCACAGTATTTAATGCAATTCTAAAGCCAGGAGAGGAGGGGACCATCCAGACATTGGGAACTGGGACTACAGGATGAGATGGGAAACCAAGCTTCACTTTCTGATAGTCATGAACTCCTGTAAGTGCCACAGTTTCATGCTGTGTCCTGGATACCTGGAGCTTATCGTTGTATTCCCCTGTTTCATCAGGAAGATGTTTGAAAGCCTTGCTAGACACCCAGCTTCCTCTCTACCCCACTTGCAGACAAGACCAAGTGCACATACTTGGGAAAAGTTGGAGGTGATGGGCACCATTTGGAAGCACTGTTTCTCTCTGGGAGGCTGAGGATGTGGGTTTCACCAGATCTACTATCATGGATATGGAAAAGGCTTATCCATGTTCATAGAATCATAGAATGGTTTGGGTCGGAAGGGACCTTCAAGATCATCTAGTTCCAGCCCTTAAATTCATCCTGCTTGAGAGGGCAGCAGAATTTAGAGCATCAGCTTCATGAGACTGAGTATGGTAAATCTTGGAGTGGGCATGAAGGGGACTTGGGTGCTGACAGTTAGAAACACCATTGTGGCAAAAAGCCAACAGAAATAGGTTTAGCACTAATACTGTTGTCTTTCTCCTTTCATTTAGGGAGAGCCAGGCCCTCCTGGTTTGCCAGGCCCAGCAGTAAGTATTCTCTGGTTGACACTGATTTGCTCATGCTTTGGGAAGGGACACAGTGCAGGAGCTAACACTGGCTCACCTTCCTCTTGATCTGCAGCAGCATTTCCTTAAGGGATACACAGAAGTGGAGATGCTCAGCACTGGTCCTGGGGACAAACACATTCTCCTGCTGCTTTGCTAGCAGAGGATAGCCAAGAAATAAAGCTCATCTGTCACCAGTGCAATGAAACTGGCACCAAGCTGCATACGTGCAGTTGTTTTTGGCATTGGTCTGAGTCTGCTTCAGCTCCTCAGCCTGCCAAGGGCTGCTCAGCACTCTACTATGTACCACAGCAATTTGCCTTGGGCCGCTTGCCCCATCCCTTTCTACCCCTCTGCTAGGAACAGCTTATGGGTATGTGGAACTGAGCCAAAGCACTGAAGTGAATTTAGGACTTAGATTCATGGCAAGTTTCATCTCTCTGTAGGTGTTGTTCCATGTCGCATGGTTTGGGATTAACACATCAACAAATGAACTTCCACGTTGTAGCCTGTATCAACGCACACCACGTCTCTCTTGTTACTATGGTAAAAATAGTCCTCATAATCACATCTTTATCTGATTTAGGGGCCAAAAGGTGCACCAGGGAAGCCTGGAGCAGCTGGTGAAGCCGGATTGCCTGGTCTTCCTGGGGTGGACGTGAGTATTTTGTCATCTTCTCTTAAGTATCTCATATAGGCATGGGTGTTTTCCCAAAGTGCCTCATCAGCTGTCTTTGTGCTGTTTCAGGGTTTAACAGGAAACGATGGCCCACCTGGCCCAAATGGGCCTCCAGGAGACCGTGTGAGTAGCACGTTAGATCTTAAGTCCCTTTAAATGAACGTTATCACTGATTGCGTTGATGATTTCTCATCCCTTAGTAAATTGGTGACATTCAAGTGTGGATTACAACGCTTTATTTATCATCAACCCTTGCAGAATACTTGGACCCTTGAAATAAAGCCCCAGGTGGCTTTTCATTAGGTAGGGCATGAAATCCATCTTTCTTTCACGTGGCTTTGAACGGGCCTGGGTAGCATCAGCGGTGGGAGTAGCAGTGCAGAACAGCTCTGGTGGTATGTCGAGTGTCTAAAAAGTTCCTTGAAGCAGTCACTAGACTTAATGGTGAAGTTTATCAGAGTGAAGCTATTTTGGCCTTTATTTGCAGTCTGAGTACACAGCTCTGTTATGTTTATAATTACTGCTACTGTGTATTAACTGTTTAAACTTCTGCCTTTTGCCAATTCTGGGGCTGTCGATATGGTTGACATTATCAGTTGCTTTGGCATAAACTTCCCCAGCCAGTGCAACAAGACATAAGAGGTTTTTTCCTTGCTTCCTGCATGTTACAGCTCTGCTAAGGGGCACCACAGGGATAGAGAAATGACTGCCTGAGATGTTACAGATGTCCTTCAGATCATCATAGGGCTGTGAAGGCCTTCTTGTGACATTAAGAACTAAACATTAGTGAGCCATTCAGCACAGATTCTTACCCAGCATGGCTATTTTCTTGTCTCCTGGTGTGGGAAGATAAGGCTTGTGGCCACAGCTGGTACACTGCTCTCTTGAGCTCGAGGCTGCAGTGATGGGCTGAACACACATCACAGCATGCAGAGGTTAAAAACTGGATTTTCTAACACGTTCAGTATATCTCAGTAATCCATTTGTTGCTCCAGGGAGTTACCCAAAGCTCAAAACTCTGTGAGCTGTCTCATTTAGTTAAAGGGATGAGTGACAGAGCCATGCATCTTTGATATGTTCTTCTACCTTTCCCATGTGCAAGCCAAAGCTTGCTTGGCTCCTGGGAAAGCTGAGTGGCAGGTCACAGCTCCAAGCCTCCATCCATTGGCAGTGCACTAAACCCCATCTCCTTTACCTTTCCTTGTGCCCATCTTTCTCCCTAGAGATCCAGGGCTGCAAAATCCCGACAGCTCTGACAGTCTGTGGCAGGAATCCAGCACCTTCTGGGAACTGATCCCTGATTTCCAAAACAGAAAAGCTCAGGACTGCACACAGGAGATTCTGAGCGGTTTTGTGCCTCTGCTTTATGTTCAGTGGTAGTGTTTGCCCATGCCCACTTTAGCACACAAGCTCCTAGTTTGCAGGGTAATTGAGCAGATAATTTCTAGGCACAAGAACTTCCTCTTCAGCTGTTTAATAGAAGCACACAAGCACTGTTACCTTAATTACGTGCTCTGGTGTGATGTGCTTTCCTATGTCTCCTAACTCAATTTGTCAGCATGGAGCAAACTTGGGACCTGTTGTCAGTTATGGGAGCTTTTCAAGGTCAGTGATCCATCTGGAAAATTGTTTTAATTGGTCTAATAAAAGCCTGGAAAAAAGGAAAAACCTCTAAAAGCTTTAGCACTCTAAAAGGACACTATTGTTATCCCAACTTTCTTTCTTCTCCCCGACTTTTAGAACATATTTCAGTCTCCCAGGCATCACTGAAATCAGCAGGTGTCTACCTACTGTTGTGGGGTTGAATCCGTGCTTAACACTATGACTTCCTTCTAAGTAAGCATATTTATCTGGCGTGTCTGAGAGCGAAGGTGTTCAGCATATGGAAGTGGGCTCATGGAAGAGAGTTTTAATTATATATTACTGCTAAACATTCCTTTTCCTCTTTATGCCGCACTCCCTCAGTCCAACAGTGATTCATGTCTGACCAGGGCCAGAGCACTGGAAAGCAGCATACCAAAAATGAGTTTTATCTTAAATATCTCCTGCTGCTACCATCATCCATTGGCTTTTCTCATGGTTCTGCTTCCAGAGTGATTGCATTGAACCTACTTGTTTTTCCAATTAGAAATATCCTTTATTTATAGCCAGGAGCGAGCTGGGTTCTGACCTCGGTGCTACTGAGTGTCTTTCATTAGAATGTTTTCAAAGGCCAGTTTGAAGTTTGGTGCTTTACATTATAAATGATGAGGAAAACATAATTATTCATATTTATTTATTAATGTCAAATCAATCAAGTCTTTGCTGTGCTCCCTAGTTGTGTATTCATAAAGTATGTTACTTTAACGTGAGAAATTATGGGGAGATTGTTTTCTAATCAAAAGACAAAGAACATTGTTACCAGGAGAATGAGTTGAGTGAGACAATGTTATTAAAATCAAGGTGTAAATTAGAGGCTCTCCTTTGAACTTAATGGAATCACTTGAGCTTGTTCAGGGACTCGATGATCTTTTACCATGCCAGGAACATTCACTGGGAGTAAAGTTCCAACACTTGGCACTTTGGGTGCTCTCCCAACCTTTAGGCGTGTTGGTCAAAGCAGAAAGGGGCTGTGCAGCTGGTTTCAGTGTGAGCAGGATTAGGGTGTGAGTCAGTAGGGGTCAGGAATTCAGTGTTTTCTTTGCAAGAGGAAATCCCAGCTTGTCCCTTACAGCCATCACTAGTTGTAAGGACTTCAGCCTGAAGATGAAAGTGAGTGGAAGCAAAGCAGAGTAACCTGCAGCAGGAGGAATGAATGAGCTGACATTCACAGCAGAGTTGATTTTTATTGGATTACAGCCCTCTCCTCCCAAGACTGCTCTTAATGAGGCCTTGGGTCCTCTGTATCTTTCTCCTTAAGCATAACAAGGGGAAATGTTTATAATCCCTTTTGGAACGCAGAACAGTAGGAAAGGGCCAGCATCTTCCCTGGGATCACAGGTAGTGTTGGGATGTTTTCCTGCTCCATCAGGAATGACAGAGTCATTACCCATAAGTTTCTGTCCTATTTGTGAATTCAGCTGAGCATCTCCAGTTATGTGCTGTTTCTGTAAGATACTGCTGGAGCTCTCAAGCAAAGATTGATGTCAAGGAGGGTATGGGTGCCTTGGTGTCCACCCATACAGAGGTCTCTCTTTTATCCCTGCTGGTTTTCACTCTGCTTTATTCCTGTAGGGTGCATTGGGACCTGCTGGGCCACCTGGACCTGCTGTAAGTAACTCCTACAACTGCATATGTAAAGATGGTGTGTGATATTATATCAAACCCATCACCAAGAGCAGGTGGGAAGCCTCGTATCCCAAAGGGATCAAAGCCTGAATGAGTGAAAACATTGTTTGAAGTGTTTAAATATGAAGATATGACCTGTTCTGTTAATACAGGACCTGGGTTTAGTCTCTGAGATGTTATAAAACAAGCCAGCTTGGGATAAAGACTAGCATATCAAATGCTATCAAAATTATTAGACATCAGATAATGTCTATTTAAAATTAAAAGGAAAAAGGGAAAAGTAGATGAACTAGAATGTTGTTTTCATAACTATGTCCCACTGTCATGTCATTGTACATGGCTTTACTTTGATATGTCTCATAGGTAACAGCAATGTAAAGGGAATACAAATTGCTAGAGGCAACAAAAGGATTCATCAAGACTCCAGCTTTGCTCTGATTGCAAATTACAATAATTGGGGACAGGGGAGTGCTAAGGAAACTTAAAAGAATTCAGCAGCATTTTCTGATGTTTGCTTTTCTTCCTGTATGTTCAGTTTCTAAGTGATCTTTCACTGGTTTAAATGTTGTTTCCAGGGCAAAGGACTACCAGGACCTCCAGTAAGTATTGAGGCTCTTCTTCCGAGAGTTTTAAAGTATTCTACTATCTTTATGGGATACCCTGATTGTTACAAACCCATCCCAGGCCTTGGGTCCCTCTCCTGTGGCAGACAGAGGGATGTGGAGTCCTGCAGGTTGGCAGCCTCAGGGGGGTTTTATGCTTATCCTAACCCCAGGGAGGCTGGCACTGATGTGGATTCAAGGCACAGCAGCTTTGTGAGCACTGGGAGCACCCAGTTCTGGGGCAGCTTTTGTTTGGGGGGTTCCTGGGCATCTCAGAGCTGCCCTGTGTTAGAGGGGATGCAGATGCTGGCAACGTGCAGTGATGATAAGAGTGTGCTCTGTGGGAAGGTGGAGCAGAGAAAGATGGGCATGGGCAAACTGATTGTCTGGGTGCAGGATTGAGCTCCTCAGGGGGATTAGACAGTGAGTACAACCAGGCTGTTTGGTTGCTCCTGGGCTTTGGTAGCTCTGCAAGATCTCCATGGGTAAAAAGGCTCTTCTCTCTGTTCTACAGGGGCCTCCAGGACCCAGCGGGCTCCCAGGTGGAAATGGATTTCGGGGTCCTCCTGTGAGTTTCTCCTACCATTTGATCCTCATTTACTGAACATGCTACAACCACAGAAGAATGAGGCTCATTTCTGGTCTCTTACCCCATTGTGGAAGCATGATGCACAAGAAGCAACGCATGCCCACAGGCAATGCTGTTCCTTGCATCAGGTTATGTAGGGTCACTCGGATCAACCACTGCCTTTACTTCCATATGCATCTGCTGTTCCCATGCCAGTCATAGAACCCTCGGCATAAAGAAAGGTACAGTCTAGTCCCATTGGAGACAGCTTGTCCCACATTCACAAACCTGCAGTGGTATTTGGAAGCCGCCTTCCTCTCCCTTCGTATTTTCACTGAAATGGTTAAAAAGGGGAATTCTGACTCTTTTCACTCTTTTTAGGGACCTTTTGGTCTGCCGGGATTCCCAGGGCCTCCCGGACCACCCGGACCTCCTGTAAGTTGAAACTTGCAAATAAACGTGTGAAGATTCCCTCAAGGCATCCAGAATATGCACTGGTGTTTGTCTTGATGTATTTAAAAGACCACATTTCTTGATCACAGGGTCTTCCCGGCGCAATTCCTGATGGCGGCGGGGACCTTCAGGTAGGTTTTCCTTATGGAAATACACTTTTGGTTTAATCCTCGCTGTGACTTTTCATTAGCATACTTGGGTGACCATTTAATGTGCACCATTCAGACTTGCAGATGTGTGTCTAAGCTGCCTTATTGCAGAATACATAATCCCTGTGTTTGTATTTACAGGACTGAAATGTTCTTTTGAGGAGGTAGATGTCCTGGGTTTGATTTTTCCCTTATCTTTGCTTTCCAGTTTGCTTTTCTGCAGGCTTTGCGTACGTTCTTCCCTTACAGAACAACTTTAGCATTTGGTAAATGACAGCAGCTTTTCATGCCTCTGCTTCTGATCCTGCTTTACAAGAGAAAAGGTTGTGCGTGTAGCACTGTTTATTTCCATGGATGGTGGCACCAGGTTCCTCTGGGCATATGCTTTGTTTAGACATCCTTCCTTAGGAGAAAGTCCCGATTCCTTTCTTTCAGGGGAATGAAAGGCCTGTAAAGCCCGTGAACGATGGGAGTGACATTTCCAGATTTCACAGCTGTTGTTGTGACAGCATCTTTGGGTTTCTAATTGGTGTGCCCCAAAAAAGCTCGGTTTAGACTGCCTTATGGCAAGTCACGTGGAAGGTAATAGAAAACGATGCTGTTTCTGCAGGTTTAATTTAAGTTACCCTGTGGAACATACCAGAAAATTACATTTCTGCTACAGAAGGTGTTGCCTGAGCTTTCGTTAAAAGAAAAATCCAAAGAACTGAAAGAAAAGCTGCAGAAGAAAATCTCATTCCCTTTTTGTAAAGTTTTTAGAGTGTTGCCTTTTGAGCCCCCGTTACATTTCCATGCATGTCCTGATTTTTTCCCAAGCCAGAAAGTCAAACTGGAGTTCCCACCCACCCCTAGACATCTGCAGGTCCCAGCTTATAGGTATTGGGGTTATTTTTTTATAGCCCCTTCCAATATGCTCTAATGCTTGCTCTTGTGTCAGTTAGGTGCGTAGTCCCAAGGAAATCCATAGGGGTGAATTAATTAATGCATAGGATAAAATATGTTCTTAATGATTTACAAGGTATCGATTCAGCTTCGCTGGGGAGCTGTGATTCTTCAGCATTTTGGCCTGTGAACAACTGTCAGCCTTCAGAATTTGTCACAGTCCCCGCTCAAAGTGAAGCAGACCATAAATCATTCTTTTGTGGGTTACTGGGGGCCTGAGGACCTGTTCAGGACCCTTTGCCATGGGGAAATGCTGGTCACTACATGGTGCTGTAAGTCCGTTCGATTTAGTGGATTTAGAGCTGAAACCCACATGACTTTTCCACCTCTCCCTAACAATGAAACCGGCTTCCCCTGTATGTATTTGATAAGCCAAAGAGTGTTTCTGTTCCTTGCAGTGCCCAGCTCTGTGCCCACCAGGTCCTAAGGAATGCCAGGTTTCAAGGTAAGGAAAACACCACCTGCAGATACAAGAATAAACACCACTATGAACCCCTGGGATTAAGCTGTTTTATACACAATGTATAGCTCCACACCTCCAAACCAGCCACTCATTTGCCTGCATTTATGCTGCTGAAACAGAAGAGCCCTAAAGCAGGCAAATATGAGAGAAGAGGAGGAGGAAGGATGTGATCCTGCCCTCTTTGCACGCTGTTCCCATGCTCATAGCGATAGCTGAAAGCGATACTGTCAAGAGTGAGTGCTCTCCCTCCACCTTCAGCAAGAGGCTTTACATCCTTCAAGTGCCTGCCTGTACTTACAGGCACGTTGTTTTGTGGCTCCATCCCCTGCAGCCTTTCTTAGATGGGGGATTTAACTACAGCTGCTTATTCCTACAAATGAAATTCAACCCTCTGCACAGGGTGAGCAAAACCAAGCAAGACATAACTTACATGATTAAATACAATTTAACTGTCATTTTATACCCAGTGTAGCACCAGCCAGCTCTCTGATTATGCTGTTTGACTCTGGTTCATAAATTCTAGGTTGCAACCCTCAGGAAACCTCATTCAGGAGTTAAACGTTTCCTTCTCTGTCCTCTCTATGATTCACATGAATTCTGTGCAGGTCTGTTTGGTCTCTGAGCCGAGTCATGAATGTTGCTTGAAATATACAGTTTTTTGGGTAGAATTATTCAAAATTCATGGCTTATGAAATGGGAAAAACCTGTGTGGGTTTCCAATTATGATGGAAATGATGCCTGGGACCTCTTGCATGGTGAGGAATGACATCTGCCATGGCTGAAATTAGTCTGGGGCTCTCCCACACTCATAGGAAGGGAGCCAGGAAAGCAAACTGAGTCTGAGTTTATAGAAGCGGTTTCAGTGGGACATGGATTTCTTTGCAAGCTTGATGCTGCAGACGTTAAAGGTGACTTAGGCAAAAAGGGGGGTTAAAGGTGCAGAATGGGGTTTTCAGAAGCATCTCGGCCCCAGTTTCAGAAGTGGTGGGAACCAAGCTCTGGTCCCTGCTCTGTAATTGAAATCCAGAGACCTGTAGCCTTGTCTCACCACAAGTCACTCTTGAAAACCAAATCTGGGCATTTCCTGAGACTAGACCAATTCTGACACAGTGATACCAAACACAGGGGTGGTGCGTGGCCAACTAGCCCCAGAACTGCCCTCCATTCACACGGCTACAGCACAGGTATAGGTTATTTCCCCAGTAGGTCATTCGTGTTGCGTGGATGCTCCAACCCTTGTGGTGTTCAAGGCCAGGCTGGACAGAGCCTTGGGCGACACAGTTTAGTGTGTGGTGTCCTTGCCCATGGCAGGGGGGTTGGAACTAGATGATCTTAAGGTCCTTTCCAACCCTAACCGTTCTATGATTTAGGACTTGCAGCTACCTTCACATTTTGAAACAGTCCTGTACTGGAATGTGAATAATCAGAGCTCTCATTTCTAGGGACACACTGGTCACAAAGGAGAACCTGGTGAAGTAGGAAAAGAAGGAGAGAAGGTAAGCTTCAACTTAAAGGCTACAGGGGAGGATTTTTCTCTTTAAAAGCTGCATAACAAGTGATTTCTTGAAGAAGACAGGGAGAAATGAGGCAATTGGCTGAACAACAAGAAGTTACTGTGCCTGAAGTGCACTGGCTTCCATTGCTCTGCATGTGTGACCGTGTGCTAATACTTCAAGAAAATCTATCTTCTCAATAATCATAATGCTCAGCTCAGTTGGAGAAGTTAACACCTATTGTTTCACATGCAGGGATGTGAGCTCAGGAAAAAGCCCTGCATTAATCACTCAGGTAAATTCCTGGCTGATCAAGTGTTCTTGCGTGTAGAAGAAATTGCCTGTAATAGAGATGCAAATTCTGAAGCACAAATCTGGCTGGGAGGGAGCTCAAGGAGAAAGGAGATGGGAAGCTCCCTGGCTTTGTGCTGTGAGGCTCATGCTGTCTCACCTCTTGTCTGATTAATCTTTCTCTCCCAGGGTAACCCTGGCCCCCCGGGTCCTCCAGGCATCCCCGGCAGCGTTGGCCTGCAGGTAACAACTGCTCTTCAGACCTTTTGCCATGTGAAGAGCCACCTTCTTACTGTGAAACTCAATGGTGCCATCAATCACCTTGTGTTACACAAACAGCTCCTGCCTGCACAGAACAGATGTGAAAGTTAATGGTGGTGGAAAAACAAATGGTGCTGCTTTCACCAAGCTTTAGTTCAGGTCCTGCTTTTGGTATCTCACCTCGGTTGAGCCATCCAAGTGATGACTGATCCAGTAATCGGCTGGGCACCTTTTGGGTGGATCTGAAGCTGAGCTCTGAGCTGGCTTGTCAGCTTGGGCAGGCACTTTGAATGTGTGTCTGCTTGCTCAGAGTCGTCAGTGAAGGGGAAACTGTCTTGTCTGCGCATCAGGAGGCTGAGCTTTCTGCTGCTCCTCGCCGTTTCTTGACGTTTTCTGTGTTGATGCGTTGTTATGTGAATGCTGTTCTGCATTTTATGGGTAAAAGTGATGGGGTTTAACTGAGCTCTTTTCTTAATTAGGGCCCAAGAGGACTAAGAGGCCTCCCTGGTCCAATGGGTCCGGCTGGTGACAGAGTAAGCAAAAACACCTTCTGAGTTTATTTCCTACTCCTCTCACCACCAGTTTGCCTCATGCGAGGTCCAGGTTCTATTTGTCTTTATCACTGGGGAACTTGTAAAGTGCTGGCTCTTTCCTGCACCCCCCCAGCACAACCAGCTTCCAAAGGCAGGAGGAGCCTTCGTACCTGAGGGGTTGACAGCGTCAGACCCAGCCTGATTTAAGCATTCAGTCCCCTGCAAGACTGACAGTGCTGAAGAACCTTGTAAAAACCTGGGAAGTGTTTTGTGAACGTTTCACTTTCTGTTCTGTCTCTTTACAAGAGAAAACCAAAGAATCATTGATGGACAAAGGTTTTCAGGACATGAAAAGGCTCTTCAGTGAGAACAGGGTCGGTCTATAGCTCATCCTGGCTTTGGACTTTTGCCATGGGCCCTTGACCATCAGCCTAAAGGCTGAATTGCTTTAAATTGGATAAAGCCATGCATTTATTTAGGAACAAGTGTGTTATCAAGATAGCAAAGCCATGAATTGCATCAGTGTATCACAGAGATAATGGTGGGAGATCCACAGTAAAATCCTGCTATTTCAGAGTTGCAGACTAGCAAGAAATATGGGTTTTTTCCAGGGCTTTTGTGTTCTCTTAGATTGCAGTATAAGGTAGGGATAGTGTTCCTGCACCCTCTGCCAACCACAGCATTCAGTGATGTGTTATTCTTTGCAGGGTGACATTGGTTTCCGAGGGCCACCTGGAATCCCAGGACCTCCAGGGAAAGCTGTATGTATCTGCATCGTTATGGCACTGCCTTCCACAACCAAAGCCTCAGGTTTCTTCCTCCTGCACTAAGCTCTTTGCTGCCAGTGAACAGGAGTGTGCTTGCCATCCCCATCAGATCATTCCCTTTGCCTTTTCCCTCCAGTTAGAGTGATGCTGTTTCACCTGACCCACATCTGATGCTGTCTTTCCCTCGGCTGTACCCCATGTCAGAACAAGTTCACCACATTTCCCTTGCTCTCTGTTCCTCACTGCTCTTCTCTGGGCACCAGCAGCTTGAGAAGGGCATCTATGTTGTTCTTGGGAAGGAGAGTTTTGAGGAGGGATCAGTATCCTGAGCTTACATCCTTTGAGCCTGGTCTTTTCCCAAGTGTCCACAGCTACCAGCAGAAATAGTTGTGTATTAAAGATGCAATCCTCATCCTCTTGCAGAGCTCTGGGGTGAGGTGTAGAACACTGACCTGCAGACTCCTGTACCCTCCATACTGTGCCCAAATAGGAGGCATGAGCTGCATCTGCAGCATTATCCCCTCTCTGAGAGCATTTCCCACTGGCCTGCCACCCAGGCTCTCCTTAGTGTGGGTAATATGACGTCTGCTTTATAGATGTATATGGCATTATAAGATGCCTGCACCAGCCAACCCATCGCAGTCTGCATGGACCCTGAGGCAGTAGCACCTCTGGGGATGCCTGCCAGGTCTTTGCAATTATAGAAGACATTAATCTGGACTAAAATAACACGAGGTACTTGCTGTCCACTCAATGTTCCATGACGCCAAGTGGGATCTAGACAGATGATGTTAAAGCTTTTCTCCCACTCTGCTTCTGGTTAAAGAAACAACTTCATTAAATGATGGTCTCTGCTCCGAGGGATTGTTGGCAAAGTCCCTGCTGCAGTTCATCTGTGTGTCAGGAATTACAGAGTGCAACTGGGGACGTGGAGCCGAGCTCCTCAGGGAATGTGAACGCTCACACCCCTGCTAACACCAGCAAACAGCACAAAAGCCTTCATCATTTCACCACTGTCACTGTGTGCTGAAGGTGCTTAATGGCTTTTCCTCCTTTGTCACAGGGAGAGCAAGGAAACAAAGGACCTCAAGGATTCAGGGGGCCCAAAGGAGATACTGTAAGTGCAGTAAAACACCCGTCTGTGCAGATTTGGGATGTGACATTCGAAGGTGTCTGTTTCAGGGCTTTATTATGGCTTGTCCTCACCTAGATTCAAATGGGATGAAAGTATCCTTCTCAAAACTGGGATGCTTAAATCCCATTAAAGATGCCTAAGTGCTGCTTACAGCCCAGAGCACAGGGGTCAGATCTTACATCTCCATCTCTTGAAATGAGCAAGAGTTCCAGCCAGCATTGGGCCAGTTTTCTGTTGTGCCTTCCTGAACAGGATAGGAGCCAATGAAATGTCCCTGCAGAGTTTGAGTATTATCTCTGTGGACTGATTGTTGCTCAGGGTTACGTCCTGGATAACACAAGATTTGTTGTTGATTTCTAGGGTAGACCTGGACCGAAAGGAAACCCAGGGGCTCGTGGACTCATAGGAGAACCTGTAAGTCAATTAAATAGGATGCAAGTCTCACTACTGTCCTGCTTGCTATGATGAGATAAAACACGATAGGAAAGACTTGCATCTTAGTCTTTGCTATCAAACTTCTCCTCGCTGGGTCTCTGTAACCTCCAGTGTTAACCCCAGTTGGACTAAACCCTAGTTGTGCTGCTGTTAAAGTCTCCCAGTACAACTGGAGCTGGACCCACTGCCAAAAGGTTCTTTGATGTGAGTGTATTTTGCAAACCACAGAGTCTCCTTATAACCTTAACGTGGTTGTGTGTGGTTGCAGGGCATGCCTGGCAAGGATGGACGGGATGGGGCTCCCGGACTCGATGGTGAGAAGGTTTGTAAAGTCCTACTTAACCACTGCAGGGAAGATTTCCATCCCATGTGTGTGGCAAAGCTCCTGATGCTTGTCAGGACTGTGGCTGGAAAGCTTTTGCTTCTACAGAGTTTTCCAGTAGTGTAACTAGTGAAGAAGAATGAAGTTGCTTCCGTTAATTAATCCCAAAGATGCCCATATGGGCCATGCAGAGATGACTTAAACACAACCGTGTCCCTGTACTTAGTGGTTCCTACTGGCTGACTCTAGGCCTTCAGAGATGCCTTTTCAGAGCTGTTGACAGAGACATCTGTTTATTTTAATTGCCTGTAGACAAAGTGCTGTCAGATCCAGCCCTGGATTTTAAACAGTGGTGCCACAGGAGCATGGGCCGTGTGCTGCACCCTGTGCCCATGGGTGCCCACCTCCTGTAGACACGATGTGCTCTTGGTCCTGCACATGTGGGGAGGGATAGGACTGCAAATGCCTCCTTAGGAACGTGTCTCCTACGCCCCTCAGACCATTGTCTGGTGCCAAAGGTCCCTCTAACCTCTCGGTATCCACAGGGTGATGCAGCTCGCATGGGTGCTCCTGGAGAGAAGGGACCAAATGGACTCCCTGTGAGTATGGCAGCAGGACCTGTCACTTCTGGGTGAAGCCTTTGGCTGCTTTGGGTTGGTCTGACGTTAAATTTGAGAGGGGTTTTCTCTTTCACATCCCAGTGACCACATGCCTTATGCAGGGAGGTAAGATCTGGGATACAGTGTCCTCCGCTTCGTCCCTGACTTACTAGTGTTCATTGGCAAAATGTTTCATCTCTTTGGTTTTCCACCTATTTACATAAAGGTAAAGTGTCCCTTTCTCCCTTTCTTCCTGTCTTACAGAATATTCTGAACACCCCTGTGGAGAGGTTTCTGCTGTGCAAAATGTGGCTGCTGTTGCTCTATTTGTATATTCCTCCTCTTTATCTGTCAAGGATTAGTGCTTGTAGAGTTGCTAGGGCAGTGAACGAGAGAGAAATAAGAGCCATCGTTTTCATGGTGAAAGCTGAGGCAATGTAAATCCTCCCTTGCTTCAAGCAAATGCTGCTCCTTGTGTGTCAGATCAGACCAGAATAACTAATTTAATAACTCTTATTTCTTCTGACATTGATTTCTTTTCCCCCTTTCAGGGACTGCCTGGAAGAGCAGGTATTAAAGGCTCAAAGGGTGAACCAGTAAGTGAATGTCTAATGATGGGTTCTGGTGGGGAAGCTACTAAACTTGTCACTGCAAGGCTTCTCACTTTGAGGGATTGGTGCTCACAGCTAGACTATGAGAGGACTTACCCCAGAGAGATGTGGGCTGAGCTCTCCTGGCAGCCAGGACCAGGCTTTAGGTACAAAGATGTTCTTGCTTTTGCTGAGACAGCAGCTCTTTCAGCAAAGACACAGCAGATACACAGGAGAGTCGTCAGTGGTTTAGTAGCCTTCAGAAGGAAGCATTCACCCTTTTGTCAAGGCTTTGCCTTTGGGAACCAAAAGGCTGAGTGCCTGCAAGCAGGAGCCATCTTGCCTGTGTAGGGCTTTCCTCCTACCTCAGGAGAAAAGCTTCCACAGAGCCCCTTCCTCTCTGAATTTCTCCTTCTGCACCATTATTCTTCCTAATCCTCATCCACGAGAGCACACTGCAAGAAGGAGTTTCACCTTGCAGCCTTTATAGGTGATGCGGGAATGAACGAAGTGGGGTGTCCCGAGCGTGCCCCCAAAAGAGCATCCCTGTATCATTGGTCCACTCGGTGTGAGAAAAGCTTCCACAGAGCCCCTTCCTCTCTGAATTTCTCCTTCTGCACCATTATTCTTCCTAATCCTCATCCACGAGAGCACACTGCAAGAAGGAGTTTCACCTTGCAGCCTTTATAGGTGATGCGGGAATGAACGAAGTGGGGTGTCCCGAGCGTGCCCCCAAAAGAGCATCCCTGTATCATTGGTCCACTCGGTGTGAACGAGCCGTGGTGGCAGTGCCCTGGGGCTGGCAGCCCTCCCTGGCCCCAGGACAGGATGCACAGTTCTTTAAATGTCTGTTGCTGAGAGTTTTATCTTCTTGGTCTTAAAGCTGTAAAAGCTTAAAGCTGTTTTTATTCCCTGCTCCACGTTTTAACTCCCTCCTCTGTTTGTTGCTCTGCATTAGGGCAGAGGTGACTCTCTGAAGTTGTGCCCTAACTGAGTGTTTGCTTCCTCCCCTGCAGGGCAGTCCTGGAGAGATGGGAGAGGCAGGTCCCTCTGGAGAGCCAGGCATCCCTGTATGTATCCCCATCATTCACACTTATCATGAGCAGTGCTGGGCGTGTTTGAAACCAAACTGCAGAGCTGGACCTTGTGTGCTGCTCCCTGCACAGATAAAGCTTTCAGTAACGCAATAGGTGCTGTGCTGCCTGCAATCCGTGCAAGTCACAGTGATGAGCACTCCCAGGCAGCCCCGTGCTGATGTGGAGCTCCCCAGTGATGCAGATCGGATGGGAGGACACCTCCATGCACAGATATTGTGCTGCAGCAGAGATCAAAGCCCACCAAGAGGGGGGCAGCGTGACCCAGTGGGGCAGGAGGTTTGGGGTTGAAGTAACCTGGGATTTGGGATTACGTTCTGGCTCTGCAGTGGGTTGGGAAGGGTGGATTCGTGGCTTCCCAATGGCACAACTGACTTTGGTGTTATTGTCAGGGCGATGTTGGTATTCCTGGTGAGAGAGGTCTGCCGGGCCCCCGAGGAGCAACTGTAAGTACAGCCCTGCTTGTAGATCAGACAGACACCAAAAGAGCTAAAGTAAAAGGCCACATTCTCGCAGTGTTGTACCTAGGGAGGTTTGGCAGCAGAGGAGTTACTCCTGCAAAGAGGGTCAGATCCTGCTCTCACTGGCAGCTCAATACAGATGCAAAGAGATTCCTCCCATTTTGTTGGCAAAGAAAGCTGCAGTTGTCCGAGAGGTTTGTGGAGCTGCTACAGGCAGACAGGAGAGACTGGACAGTCAGCAATCAGACAGTAAGAACAACGTTCAGCTTGTGCTGAATGCAGAGCATCAGGGAAGCAAAACTCCTGGTCAGCTATTGCAAGGTACACTGCGCCAGCACGTGGAACATGAAATCCTTCCCTTTCCTGTATCGCTTTCCTTGGAGCAGAAGTTCCCTGCAAAACCCAAAGCCATACAAGCAACAAGGCTGGGAAGCCTGTATGTCACCATGATGAATGACAGGGCTTGAGAAGTTAGTCTGGTTGGTACGAGCCCCTCAGAAGCAACCCCCTTTACACACGTCTACTCTGAACTGATGACTCTTTGAAGCTTCTGGGTTAGAACCCCCTGAGGTCCTCAGTGGAACATCTTGTTCCTGCTTTCCTTGTATCCCCTGCATCATCTCAGAGCCTGAGAAATACACTGGGATTGCAGTGCAAACCTGAAAGTAACTGCGTGGCTGCCTGTTGTGTCCTGCTGACTAGCAGAGATGGCAATGAATGATGGCAGGATGATAAAAGCCTGATTCAACTACTCAAAATGCTTGGATACCTTTTATTTTGTCACTCTCCATCTAGTGCTGCTGTTGTGGTTGGACCTGACCTTCCAGTGGGTTTGTTGGGCTTTTTTCTTTGCTTTTTCCCCCCCTTTTAATCTCATTTTGAAACCCAGAAGCCTGCTGACATGATTTCTGGTGTGTGCCACTTAGGAGAAATTGAACTGTGTGATGATTTATTGTTTGAGAGCAGCTGCTCTTTAAACTTCCAAGGAGAGGGAAACCAGCCTTAGAAATCAACTGAATTCATAGTGTTTGCTTTTATGTCTGCAGTTTCTCATCAGAATAGCTGACCCCACAAAAGGTATCGTAGCGTTATGGCCAAAAGTCAAATGCAGTCCAGCTAATTGCGTTGGGGTGGACTTCTGATGGGGGTGCAATAGCAGCTGAACCCGTGTTTGCTTGTAACCTGGGTTTCTAATTTCTGATTTGCATTATTAGAGTCCTAATTCATATGAAATATAGTTAAGCCTGGGCTATTCTGAGAGTTACAGGGTTTGTCTCATGTTAAGTCTGGTTGGCCTTTATTTAGCACAGCGCCAAGGCTTTCTTCCCATTCAGAGGCTGTTGACTCCACCAGCTCCCACCACTTCTAAAGGCACCAGCAGAGTCAGTTTTGATGCAGTTTAATGCAATTTTTCCTGCCTGTATTTATATGTCTCACACGTTCATGACTGAATTACAGGCAGAAAACAAGTGGAAACAGAAACCACAAATATGCCTGAGCAGTTCTGGTTTCCTTTTGGAGACGACGCTGCTTTGTTGCAGTAGATTGGCTCTTTCCTCCAGGCAGACCCTAGATAAGGGCAACTGGTTTAGATCATGTACTGGGTCACACATCACACAAGGGTTTCCTCTTTGGGATGACCAGGAGAAATTATGTTCAGATACCAGAGAGAGTTTGTAGAGGGGAAAAAAAGGGAAAACCACAGATTCTATTTAACACATACCCACTGCAATCAACTGGTTTCTTGGCTGTTTGGAGCAGTCCCTGCTGCCTGGGATGGCCAGTTTGAAGTTCATTTATGCCCCTTCACACTGCACTCAGCAGGGGCAGCTGAGAAAGGAGACAAAGCTGTGACACCCACCTTGTGACAGGAGCTTGCCAAAGGCATCTAATTCCAGAAGCCACTTTACAGATGGGATTTAGATGTCTAAATAACTTAGGGGTTTTTCACCCAGGATCTTCACTGTGTATGTGATTTTTTTCCCTGTAGAAAGCAATAGAGACTCCTAATGGTAACATTCATGTTCTGGCTGGTGAGCCAGGCTCTTAAAAGCACCTGCCCTGACAGCAGAAGACACCTTTCTCTGCATTGCTGACAATGGATGCAATTGCCATTTTTCATTTCCAAGTGCCTGTAGCATGTGTTTTACAGTAGTTTCTTGCAGATCTGGATCAATTAAAAGCATAATATTGGGACAGCAGATCCCCCTTGTTGTATATTGTCTGTGCTCTCATGCTACCGTTTTCTGCTGCCATTGACCCGTACTACTCATGAGTGTGGCATGTTCTTAAGCATTAATATATGAGCATTTCTGTCAATATTAGCAAAGCTCAGTAAACACCAGGCACTGCTTTATGGTGGCTCATTAGGTTCATCAGCCACAGCACTGAGCAAAGTCTGCTGCAGAACAGAGCAGGTCTCTGTTAGAACGGAGCCAACGTTATTACTCAAGTGACTTACCTCACCTTATGTTCTTTCCTTACCAAAGCTTCTCTTTCTCTTTCCAGGGACCACTTGGTCTGCAGGGCCCAGTGGGAGCCCCCGGTGTCAGAGGTTTCCAGGTCAGTGTGCTCACAAGGGTAGTTTAATGCACATTGTGTTTGACAGGCCATTTCTCTGCAAACCTTTGGCAAGACAATTGCATGATGGCAACAAGCGATAGGAAGAAACCTTTTCCTAGTTGCCAGAACCAGTCTGACACCTTTATTAACACAGTGCAACAGCACAAGGCCAGATAAGCTGCCCGCTGGAGCTGTTTATATTTAGTAGTTGCTGGCAAAAGGTTTTAAGTTTGACCTTTGTAAAGACAACTTCATTCCTCCTCAGTCAGGATGCTTCCAACCTGCATGTCTTCAGTGAACTCCTCCTCCCTTCTGCTGCGCTGGAGGCTCCCATCCTCCTCCCTCCCCTCTCCAAGGGGGTGTTCACCACCATTCCCCAATGCAACCGGATGAAACACAGTGTGTGGTGCTACCTGCTGGGAGCATCACTTGGTCAGGAGTCATAGATGGGGTTTTACTTAGTGAAAGACCCAGGTCAGGCAAAGCTTGGAGCACTTTGCCAGGGTGGCCGACCTTGGTGGTGAGTGGTGTAGAAGAAGCTGGAGTGAGCTGTACCAACCAACACAAGTGGGACCAGCAGTCAGCAAGGGGTCCCTAGGTCCTTTTGGGGGGACAAAGGAGACAGGGGATCTAAGTGACCTTTAACATGTTATGGAGATTGGTGAACTTTGGGAGTTCCTGGCACTTTAAGCTGTAACTTGGTTTTTGTTTTCCTAACAGGGTCCCAAAGGTGCCAGCGGTGAACCTGGCCTTCCTGGTCCAACTGGAATCCGTGGAGAACTAGGTGACAGGGTAAGGAGAAGACATCTGCAATTCCTGCTTGGGAGAGATGAAATTAAGGTGTAACAGAGCCCCAAACACGGTGTAGCTGGTGGCACCCCAGCAAACACAAGCAGGCTTGATAGAAGGTGGGTCCATTGAGTGCCCTGGTCTATCCTCCGTGGCTGCTACAAACCCTACAGCAGGAGGCAGGATTCGTGCATCCTGTCTCTTCTGTTCCTTGCTTCTGTTTCAGTTTACGAGTTCCCACTATTTTTAGTCAGGATGGATTGGTTAAAAGAAGCTTTGGGATCCTGTTCTACCCAGAATAGATGATAGTTGTTGGTGTTTTCCCTGCTCTATATGCTGATTTCACCAAAGCCTTCCTCCCCATGGGCAGAGAAGAGCTGATTGATGCATGTTTATTACTCAGATCCTTGATGAGGCTTTCTGTATCTTCTTAAACACACAATTTGCCCAGTGATTTCCTTTCTGAAGAGCAGCACACCTGAGCCCCCCACTTCACTAAACGAGGCTCTTTATTTAAATGAGTTCATTCTCATTTAAAAGAAGCCAGCGGGGCAAAGTGAGCACTGCTTGTTGGGGGCTTGCAGGAGAACAGGAGCCCTGTGTTCACCATTCCTCCACTCCAGCTCTAAGGTGGAGTTCCTGTGTAAGGAATCGCAGCAGCACCGCGGGGCTTTCACAATGGCCCTTCTGTGACAGCTCCAGGCAGGTTTACAAAGGCCTCTTGGAAGGGTCTGTGAGCCTGGAAGTGTGAGACAGGAGGGTTATTGTGGAGCTGCAGGGTTCCTACTGCAGGCAGGGCTTTGCTGTGGTCACAGATGTATGTGAAGAGGGGAAAAGGCCCCTGCATAGAGCAGCCCAGCATCCCGAGAGCTGCTCTGAGAGAGGGGCAGGAAAGCACTCTGTAGAGACGACCTTCCCCCTCCACATACACCACTGGTACTTGGAGCAGCATCCATCTGCCCACCCATCCCTTTGGTGTCAGCGACAGCCATGTGTGCCCATAGTCCTCCCCCATGCAGGCAGTGCCAGCAGCCAGCACTGCAGAATTCCACACTTATTAATGGGCACAAGATTTGGGCTGGGAAAGACCCTAAAACCTCAAACCAGGTCTTTATGCCTTAACCAAGCAGCGTTTGCTTTGTTGTTGGGGTGGTGGTGGCTGCTGGGGGTGTACGAGAAGCACAGCAGACACTGCCCTGGGTTTGCTTTACAGCCAACCCAGCCTGCTGGCGCTGGTGTGTATAGAGGGAACTGCCAACACAGGATCAATACAACCAGAGCAGCCCACCCTGGAAGCCAGTTTGGGGGTTATTTAAGAGAAAAAACTATTCCTGCAGGCCTGTGTTAACAGGTCCTGATCCGATGTTCACAGTCCTTGGACTGACTGTGGCCAGGAATATAAACCAGCTTATCAGTAAGTGTGTTTGCTGGCATGGAAAACACAAGAGGTTTAGTGCATTTGATCATAAGGTGTAAAATAGCATTGAGAAGATGCCTAAAGCATCTTGTTGGGTGGATACTGGGGAGGGGTTTGGTGGTTATTGCTGACTGAGGTAGCAATAAGCAAGTAGTTTTCCTAAGGATTTCTATTACGATCAGATTCCTGAGGATTCTGGATGGTGGCAGCCACTGGGGCAATGTCTCAGCTCCGTCCTGGCATCATGAGGTGCTCGGCCAAAGGTGTTGGTTGTGTTTAACTGATGGGGTGCCACCAACGTGAGGGCAGCCGATGGTCCTGAAGTCCTGTCACTTATTCCTGCTTCTGGGAATCACCACTGCTGTAAATTGCAGTTTGAGTCTGAGCTTTTCTTGAAGGGAGTTCCTCGCAGGACGTGGCCTTTGGTGGCTGAGCTGTGTTTTATTGCCATAGACCTCCATGGAGCCTTGAGACCCTGTGAAGGCGGAGGTACAAGTCTAGATGATAATGTTCAGAAAAGAATCTATCTCCTTTGTCATCAGCAAACATAAAACAGGAGTTATGAACAGCTGTGGCCGTTTGTGCATTTCCACGTTCCATTGTCTGCTTGGCTGAGGGTTATTTTTTTCTTGAATGGAAATCCCCCTTTTTTGACTTATTCAGTGCTTGACTTGAGCAAAATGACATGCCCTGGTTATATGTGATTCTCTTCCTCAAAGCTTTTGTTCTGCTGAGCCATCTCCAGATTTAGTTATTAAAAAAGCCCATTTTGCGGATGCCAGGTTGATGACTGTGCCATAGAAATCCTGTTTGAAGGGAGAAATGGTTGAATTTCCCATTTGTTTGCAGTAGAGGAAAAAAAAACCCCTGGAGTTCTGAACTCCTTGTTGGCCTCTGATCTTAAGGTCCTTTCCAACCCAAACAATTCTATGATTCTATGGACCCAAAGACAGAAGTAGGGTTGAAAAGGTCTCATGTCCTCTCTGTGAACACCAGGGAGATAAAGCTGGAAGGATTGTATCTCCTTCTGACACCTTCAGGAGTGAAAGGCAGAGATCAGTCCCCACCAGGCCCATCCTGGACCTCGTCCTTTAGCTTGGGCATCGGTAAAATTGCTGCTTCAGTCATGATAGTGACAATAATGAAAAGCAGAGGGACAAAGCAGAGTTCCTGCCCCGGGATGGGTGTGAGAGATGGCTTTTGTAAACCAGGTTTTAAAGAGTAGGATTAAAAGCACAGAATTCGTTGTAGTTCTATATAGGAAATTGAGGAGGATGGTCTGACAAGGGCTGGTGGAGATAACCTGTGCCAGGCAGGCGGGGAGCAGTGCATTGCTGAGCCATGGCAAGAAGGTCTCTCTGGTGTGGTTGATGAGGAGCTGCTGGGCAGAGGACCACTGTGCCTGAGTTGGGAAGTCCTGCCTGGTCTGGCAGCAGATAGAGGTGTGAGAAACTGCCCTATAGGGCCCTATAACCACCTTATAATAACTGGTGATCGCAGAGTGCTGTGAAGCTGGCAAGGATGCTTAAAATCTTATTTCTAAGAAGTAGGAATGAGATTCAAATGAGATTCAAACCATCCTACTTGGCAGCTGGGAGGCTAATTCCCAGCCCCTTGCTGAGCGAGTGAATGTCTGACCACACCAGGAATTCAGCTGGAGCTCATTTGCCTTCTTTCTTTCACTTATTCTCAGGGTCCTACTGGTGTTCCTGGTCCTAAAGGTAACCAGGTAAGTGATAACTTTACTGCTGCAGTCAGCAGAGGTATATAAAGTATATACACCATATATACCATAGGCACAGCCTGTGACAGCACAAACTGCTTTTCCTCCCTCAAATGAAAAGACTCTGGAGCAGGCACCAACTAAACCCTCTTTGGTCCCATTTCACTGTAGCCTCAAAGCCTGGTGCACTAATAAGACTTTAATCTATTAAAGTGAACTTAATCTTTTCCTTTTGCTGCTTAATTTCCACAGTTGGCTTAATCTCAGCAGTGAGCTTTTGAGCCTGTTTTCAGGCTTTTGTTAATGCCTAACTGTGTTTCTGCAGAAAACAAGAGCTTCTCCAGCAAGTTGCTTGTTTTGTTTACCAGTGTCAGTGCCTGTGTGATCCCTGTGTTGTTGCTAAGGGAAAGACCAACCTAATCACTGCTTGTCTTGGAATAGCTTCCTCTCCAAAACTATAGAGGTACCAGAGCAATGTTCATTTTCTGCTCTGAGTGCTGTGTAATAAGCTCTGCTGCAGTGTTGGGGTGGGATTCCTGAGGCACACGCTGCTGTTGGCCTCATGGAGGTGAGCAGTGAATGGATGCTTCTTGTCAAAGAGAATGTCAGCAGAGCTTTAGCCACTGCCCAGCCAGAGCAGAGAGGGATGGTCCTCACTAGGTGATGGACCGCTCCTCTTCAAGGGTGGGATGGAGCTGTTCTGCAGATGGCTCTGTTGAGGAAGCCCAGTTACACTGGACATTCAGGTGTCATTGCAAACCCACATTTTCTGTGAGACCCAGAGCTGGGGAGCTTGCAGTTTAGATTCAGTGTACAAGGAATGTCAATACCAGCCTGTGGGTGTCTTTCACCCCATCAGGGCTCTCATCTGTATGAATTGAGCCTTTCACTCAGGTGCCAGCTTGTTGCAAAGGGCACCAAGTCCTTGCACCGCAAGTGCTGGTGTCAGCAGGAGAACAGCTACTGTGGAGCTCAGCTTTGGGAAGAGAGAGCTTGCCTTTGCTGGAGCAGTTGTATAAACTGCCACGTGCCCCCGTCTCCCTTAGGAGCTGAGGTTATCCAAGTCTCAGTGAGTGTTACTGTCAGTAATCCTTGTGCACCAATATTGTGGTATCTGACTTCCAGGGCATTGCTGGAGCAGATGGCCTCCCAGGGGACAAAGGAGAACTGGTAGGTGTCCTGAAATCCAGTAGAATTGACCCCTCAAATAGCAGGTAGGTGTAGAGAACCATGTATCAAGGACTGATGTGGTCAGTCAAAATTCACCATCATGGGTTTTGTCCATCCCAAGAAGCAGCCAGGTTGCCTGGACCTGCATTCAGCATTGGTACCCAGGGCAGACCTTGGCATTGGAGTCCCCCCCAATCTGGTCTCCAGCATCCTGCTGTCATTGCTGGCTCCTTTGCTAGAAAAGCCCATGAGGTGCCACACGTGTGTGTGATTGTGGCTTCCTGCAGCTTGGGAGATGTGACTTCAGATGTGTTTGCTGAATGATCATTCTTTCTTATTTCACTTCTCTTCCTAACAGGGTCCCTTTGGTCCCCCTGGCCAAAAAGGAGAGGTATGTGTCAGACATTGCAGGCTCATGCCCTGAAAGCTTTGGGATTAAACATGTCCATCACATCTGATGATGATGTATCTCCATGAACTATGTTCTGGCCTCATTTCCTAGAGGCATGTTTTCTTCCTGGTCACGCTATAAAATCTATGACAAGGACAACTTTCTGTGGCACTTAAAACATTCCAATGTGTTTGAGAATTTTGCTGTGGGGAGGACTCCTGTTGTCATGACCTGTGTATGTATTGACCTATGATGACATGACGTATGATTCTATGTATGTATTGACCTATGATGACATGACACATGATTCTATGTATGTAAAACCACCCGTAATACATTGTAGGAAGTGTACATGCCGGATGAGTTAGGGAAACCTGGAGAAAGGCCCAACTAATCCCCATGAGAAATGAATGGGCCATGTCTTCTGGTTTAAGTGTTAGTGGTTTTTAATCTCCTTCTTCATTACAGCCAGGAAAAAGAGGAGAACTTGGTCCAAAAGGTGCCCAAGGACCTAATGGGACAGCTGGGGTACCGGGAATCCCAGGGCATCCAGGGCCCATCGGCCGTCAGGGAGAGCAAGGAGTTCCTGGCATCACAGGAAAACCTGGGCCTCCTGTAAGTATTCCCTGCTTCTGGGCACAGTCAAGGAGTCTCCCAAGTGAATAAATCATGGATTTTGGGTGCATATTCAAAGAGTAGGGTCCTGCAATTGAGCAGAGAAATGTAGACAACTACATGCCAGAGAGCAGTCTTGCACTGGGAGTTCACCAGTGCAAAAACATTAACAGGTTTGCAAGCTTCAGAATTAAAGTGTCTGTGGAGAATTAGCCTTTTCCCACAGTGATCCATGAGCAGATTGTCTGTGTCCATTGGCACAGGCTGCAAGTCCTTGTTCTCGTTACAAAAGTGAGTTAGAAGTTGGTCATTGAAAACTCTAACTCCTATTTACCACGTGAAATGTTAGAGCTCTGTCTTGGTCCAGAGCTCGTGTTTCATCATTCAGGAAAGGTCAAATAAACCCCGGATTAATTTTAACATCAGGCCAGTTATTTCATCTATGCCATTATTACGAATGGAGCTTCTGAATTGAAGCAATCATCTTTCGAAGGGAGGGGGGAAAGAAAACCCCACTCCTCTTCATATAGGATCCAGTGGTTCTTACTGAGCTGCTGGCAATGTGTTTTGTGTCCTGAAGCCTCTGTCAGGGATGATTATGGTGAGGTGTCCTCATTCTTCTGTTAATTGCAGGGCAAAGAGGCCAGTGAACAACATATAAGAGAACTCTGTGGGGAAATGATAAGCGGTGAGTATTACTGAGAGCAAATGGACTTTAATTACCACACTTAGCTGGAGATGGGTAAATCCTGAACATAAGGTGGCTCCTGAGGGTTGCTGGGTTTGTGTGTCAGTAAGAAGAAAGAAGCTGACCTTTAAGATAAGTTATTCAGAGGTTACTTGTTGTCTGGGATGAATTTCCTACTTCTAAGATTAGTATTTTCAAGTGATTCATCATGGCAACCTGCAGCGTGTGCTGAGAGCAGCTTTGACACACACAGACACCACAAGAGCTGGCTGCAAGTGTCTGCCCTCGCCTGTGGTGGTGTGAACTTCAGCACATCCCATCACCTTGGTCAGGCCAAGGAGGGGGCTTCTGCCTCCAGAGTTCTGCACGTAGAGGTTATGTTTGACCGTTGGGATGAAGTTAAACTCTGCAAGCTTGTTCCAGAAAACTTGTTTTAGTAATTGAAGTATCATTTTCTAGAATCCTTGATATCTTTTAAAGTGGTTTAGGAAAAAGGAAATATCAATGGCTTAAAAACCTGCAGCTTTCTGACCAAATCAAAGAGTGTAGGAGTGCAAGGAGTGCAAGGAGCAAGCTGTAGCCCAAGCACGCTGCTTTGCTTTACTGCCAGGCACTTGCTTTTCAGCTCTCACTCAATTAAGCACAGTTGGTGGCAGACAACAGCCAAGCAAAGAGTGAAGATGGTGGACGTGGGGGTTCTAATTGGTCTGTTTGTTTTAATTGCTTTTTTCAGATCAAATTGCACAGTTAGCTGCTAACCTGAGGAAGCCCTTGTCTCCTGGAATGACGGGTCGGCCTGGCCCCGCTGGTCCCCCAGGTCCACCTGGAGCTGTGGGAAGTGTTGGGCATCCTGGTCCTCGGGGTCCCCCAGGATACAGAGGGCCAACGGGAGAGCTGGGTGATCCTGGTCCCAGAGGTAAGAAGGACTAAAGCAACCTGTTTCTCTTTTATATCCACGTAAATAAAGTGCAAACTTGCACTCATTTCAGCAGTGGAGGAGGCAAGGGCAGCCCTTGGGGTTGTAGAGGGCAGTTTTGCATCTTTAGGGATGCAGTGTAAGCAAAGATCCCAGCAATGTCCTCAGGATTTTAAGCTTCTCCTGTTCTTTCCCCTTCCTGACCTTGGATCCAGCTGCAATTCCCAACCCATTGTTGCAATTGTCTGTTTATGATTCAAGGTGACACTGGCGAGAAGGGAGACAAGGGACCTGTTGGTCAAGGTATTGATGGGCCTGACGGTGATCAAGGACTTCAAGGTAAGGCTGTGCAAGCAGCTTCAGTCATGGCTTAAGTGAAGGCTTAAGAGGGACAGCTCTGCCTCGTGTCAGCAGTGCATTATAACCACTTTGTCCCTGCCACTGTTACAGTGGGGTTGTTCTCCTGGGGTTAGAGGAGGTGGCGAGAGTTGGAACAGCAGAACTTTATTAATTCAGTTCATGCTTCTGGACGTATTTAATTTTACCAGAAACACCCCTTCCCAGCACAGTGGTGTTGAGAGGCAGCGCTGCTATTGCTCTGTACCTGGCTCTAATCCCAGTTCCTGAAGTCATGAATCCTTTCTCAAAAGACTCAAAGATTAATTTATGCAAATTAATGAGTATCTGTTAGCAACTTGCAAGAATAGTCTTTATTTTGCTCACCTATTAAAGCAACTTTTCTAATTGTGATTGCATCTGTACAATGAATAAGCTACAGGCAGCAAAAGCAGGCTCTGCACCCATATGATTTCATAAAAGCAGAATATTTATACCCACTTGTCTTAGATCCTTCCATAAAATAATTGCATTAATCCATGTTTTCTTTTCCAAAGCATGTAAAAAGAGGCTGTTTCACATATTAGATACTGAGAGCATTTGTTCTACTCAGGAAACCTAAGATCAACAGCAGATGCAGCTCACCACTTCCATGGATAAAAAGAATCAGGCACCACCTCTCTACCATAATTGAGGCAGAAAAGCAGGTTTATAGGTGATAGAAGTGTCCCTCAGGGAGACAGAATCCTATTTTAGGAAGCCTCAGTAGCTTGCTGTTAGAGCAATTAGTGTTCTGTGAATCATTTTTGGCATCTGAAGGAGAAAAAGAAGCAACAGCTTGAGTCATCCAAAGCAGAAACTATTTTTGCCAATAAACAACCCATGTATTTCATTGTGAGCACAGTTTTGAAATCAGATGCAGGTAGAAAGGAAACTCCTGATCTGTAATGGCAGGGGGATGTTCTCTGTCATCATTCTCTCCACTCTCCTTCCCTCACTCAGAATCTGAATTACAACTAGACTTAAGGAGGTGCAATGAACTGAAGCAGGTGAGGGCCACAGCTTCCCACTAGGGAGGAAGCTGGTGGCTGGGAAGGAGGGACAGTTGTGAGCCCTCCTGCTGTCACAATAACAAGGACATCCCTTGAGCAAACTATTCAGAGTTGCTGTAAAATAACCCTGGTTAGTAATTACTTGGTACTACTATAACTGAGGCAGTACTGAGATGGAATCCAGTTCTACAGCAGAAGTCAAATCAGACACACTCAATACTAAACAGCCACCACCAACTAGACAGAGGTGAGGCCAGTCAAGGCAAAGGCACTCTAAGAAATCCAACGCACATACTCCAAAGTCAGGCTAAGTTTATTCAACACCTTGTACTCAACAAGTTCCATGTACAGACACTTAAAAGTATTTTAAGAGTTCTAAAAGTAACACATATATTTACACATATATTAAAAAAGAAAAAAAATAGGAGATACGGAGATAATTCATGTAACCTCTTTCCCCTTCTTGTTTAGGACCACCTGGTGTACCTGGAGTCACTAAAAATGGTCGTGATGGTGCTCAGGGTGAACCCGGTCTTCCAGGGGATCCTGGTACTCCTGGTGCTATTGGGGCTCAGGGAACTCCAGGAATATGTGACACGTCGGCTTGCATGGGAGCTGTCGGAGTATCAACTTCCAAAAAATCATAAACAACAGTACAAGAAGTGGAGAAGTGACTGAATATTTAAATAAACAGTGCATTGTAAGAAAACAGACAGAATCCTCCTAGTGCTAAATGGACAGATGTGCCTTCTATTATATTGAGTGGAGACTTTGACACAGTTCTATGAAAAAGAAAGCATCAGATGAAAACTTTTCACTAAAAGATGCTTTATGAGTATTTTTTCCTGTCCCCCAATTATTTTCCAGAATTTTTACTGCTTAACAACCTCACCTTCCCTTTCTCCCTTTGTTCAAGAGACCTGCAAGAGGAAGCAGTGTTCCTTTTTACTGTGTGCTAAAGATCATGACTTCTCTGTATCAATCTTTAAGCCTTGTCACTTGAATCCCTTGGTGCTGCTCCCGCTGACCTTGGTTGTTGCAGGTTTGTGCACTAAGACAGGTGCTATTAAGGTGTTCAGGCACCAAACTGCTCCTTCCATCAGTGGAAATCGGGCATTTAAATATCCTGTATTTCAATATCTGAAGATTCTGGCCCAAGTAAAGCCCATAGCTTATGTCTATGCTGTCAGCTATCAATTTTCAGATTGCACCTCAACTATTTGCCAAGACCAGTAACTAGTAATCCTCCTGCAGTCAAATTCTACCAAAGGTGAAATGTATATATTTTAATTTACAGGGGAGAATTTCTGTATATTTCCATATGATAATAAAAGAAATGAAGTAACAGCATTTTCATGACCTCTACTTGAGCTATTTGCACAGTAATTGTGAATGAAACCCCCAATAAGAAAGGATGCTCACCTCAAGTCCAGCCAAAAAGCCCTGTATGAACTGTTGTAAAAATAAAAGGAGATTTTTTTTAACCTTTGTGATGTTGTAAGTGTCGTTATACACAAACTAACTCAGCTGAGTTCCATTTTCCAGAACTGGTTTTACTAGGATGGTTTGGAAATAAGCTGGTGCAAAATTGTCCATGTCCGTGATTTAAAACAGTATTTCTTTTGGGAGACCTTTTTCGTCCTTTAAAACCTACTAATCTCATCTATTTTAAAAAATGAATAAAACCACTCTCAGCTCCCACACTATTCTGTTTCTGCCCTATATGCTAAAGCCTATGAACAAAGGAGTCATATTTAGCTTTAAATATGAAAATAGTTTGTGCCTTTAAATAATCAACTCTTTAAAATGTGCCACTCTTGGACTAAAGTAACAACACAAGAACCTGTTGGACAGTTGTGTGATAGACATTAAAAATAGCACTGTATTTACAGAATAATGCTAACATACCACTGCATTACTCTTTGGAGCCAAGCATGTTAAAATGTGTATGGCAAATGTACACTTCATCATAGCAGCACAGTTTAGGAACTATGTACTTATTCCATTAAACAATCTAACCTTTAATTTTTTAATGGAAAAAAATGGGCATTCTAATATAATAACTTCAATTTCTTTTTACACTTGAAGAGTGCATTTGCATCTAGTCATTAAAATAACAGGACAGATGAATGTTCTATAGCTATTCCTAACTCTACTGGCTCATCTCTTAAATAAAACAAACCAATCCCCCCCCCCCCCCAAAGTAGAATGACAAATAGAAAAAGAACATGTTTTTTATAACTAAAAGGGAAAAATACTTAGCTGTCGTAACACTTTCTTGTAGGTCCCAAAGCCCCTTTAAGAGAGCACTGATTTCTATTGCTAGTACTTCACTCTCATTTCCATTTTGAATAAAGAATGTTTTCTTTAAAGCTCTATTTATATATTTTACAAGTTACATTTTGTAATTCACATTCAGCATGAAAATAAAACACAGTGTGGGCCTGTCGTACAACTCAAGGTGGTCAGGTCAGGCTACTTGGTCTCCGTAGCCATACGTATTTTCCTGCGCTGGACACGTTACAAATGAGTCTGACCTTGGGATTTTTAGTCTCCTGCCTGTTTTACCACAGAACACAGTCTCAAATTCCTACAAATCAAAATACAAGAAAAGAAATAACAATTATGTTTAACATAGATATTTACTTGAGATGTGTAGCTTTTGTTTCACTAGTGTCTTGGGGTGAAAAGTGCTGAGGGGCCAACACACTATCTATCACACAGGTGATATCCTACACGGACTCCATCAACTCTCTTAAGTTACTTAGCAGAGTCAGAATTGCAACTACTGGTGTGGTTATATGGGAGCTGCTCATATAGCACATAATCCTCTACTACTGTCACTCACTTTGAGGCAAGAAATAAGAGAAAATTAAGGGGGTTAGAATGACTGAAGAGAACCTCAGTTCTACATTGTTGTCCAGATAATACCATGCTCAGGAATTAATATCTGACTTGAAAACCCTGCCTGAGGACAGCCTATGATTTCACACTGCTGAACTGAACCAGCTCACAGAGCTGAATAATAAAGGCAGGTTGAAGGGTACAGCAGTCCTTCACAAACAGCATCACACAGAAGCATTCCACGTTGTGACAGCTTTAAACCATTTCATGTTTTTATCGAGAACAAGAATGAAGTTAGAGTTCAAACCTGTTTCAGAGAATCCCCGTGCCTTTCCTGAATGTACTTCAGAAATGCAGTTGTCCACTGTAAAGTTGTTGCCTTGTCAGTATCAACAGTACAGAATGGAACCAGAAGATTCAGCTCATCACAGCAAACCCGGATCCTGCGCCTGCAGGCACATGCAAAAGGTTAGCAACGATGGGAGAGAGGAAGGGAAAAATAAAAGGAGACTACTCACATGCGCTACAAGCTGTGGGCTTTGGGGACTTCGTTTTGTTTGCCACAAGCTTTGTGTATCAGTCATGTTTACACAAGTTACTTCCTTTATAGAATTGCTTAAGTGTTTGGAAATCTCTCTTTTTTGTTTGTTTATAGAGTAAAACCCAACAAACCAACAAAGACGATCACAACGAAACATACATCATGATTTCCTGTAACAAACACCCAGCCCTCATCACCTGCATTGCTTGGCCTTGTAGGTAAACCAAAACACGTCCAATAATTGACATTTGACTCTGAAGAACGACAGGAATATTGCAGGATCAGGATTTTAGGCTTCAAAACCTTTGTTCTGCCACTCCTCAGAGAAATTACCTCCTGTCTCTCTCCATACGGTTATGCCTTTCTCTTCGCTGAGCGATTCCATCGGGAATACCACTTTGCATCTGCAGACTTGAACTGGACTGTGGTGCCTGCCAGGGGCCCTGGGCAGCTGTGGCACTCTGGCTGCCATCTCGGGTGTTCTGAATTTCACTCAGAGGCTTGCGATCTACATTAGGATCCAGAGGGCTTATTTTGCTGCAGCTTCTTCTGTTTATGGCTTGCTTGCACAAGCTGTCTTCTTGGAAAAAACAAAGAGGAAAAGAAGAACCTATTTATGACCCTCCCATTGATCATGGGAATCTTTTTTTTGTTGCTTTATTTACGTGGCATAACCTTGGAAGTTTTATTGCCAACCTAGGTAGACTCATAGCATCCTTCAGAAGCCCTAAAGCATCACTTGCTGTTTGAAAATCCACCCAGCTGCTGTTTTCTGAGCAAACCCACTGAGCTCATGCCTGCCTTTGATCAGCACTTGAGGCAGCCCTTTACAGGTTCCTCAGTTTGATACTGGGGGTAGAGCAGTGTAGAAAGAAACCGGTTGCTTACTCTAAGCCCAGATTTTCAAAGGCACTTTGCAGCCTCAGGGTTTCTTATTTTGAGCTAGAAGTGCTAAACCATTTTGAAAGTACAGCTAACCTCAGAGGTGTCGAACCTTTCTGGACAAACCTAGTCCCATATTGCCCGTAGCACATCTTGGACATAAAACCCACACCTCAGATGATTCATTAAAATCACATTCATCCTAGAAAACACACAAACTCGGAAAAATTGTAGATCTAAAGCCAAAAGAAAGTGAAGCGAGAAGACGATAAGTAAGTGGTTTACCTCCAACTTTAATCCAAACTTCCTCAGGCAAGGCTTTATTCATAGCACCTGCTGCCTGTTTCGTGGAGTCGATTTCCTGATAGCAGAAAGAGAACGTCTTGGATATCCCAAGATCTTGATGTTTGGCAGCTTCCAAAATAGCACAGGACGTTCCAGAGGTCTGTGAAAACCAATAAGGAAAGACTTAAGAGGACTAAATACATAAGAAGAGAGACTGTTTTGATACCCTCATGTTAACTTCTTAAGTTTTAGCCCTGTGATTCAATGTGTCAGAATAAATCCCCATTACTTCTGCCCACAACCACAGGATTTTGAGAGACTCATGATTTTTTGGGGAATACCTCGTACACTTCTGAGTGCCACACTATCACTCTTGATTTGGGGGGTGGGGAATCCATCTTATTCATGAGAATTGATCAGAAAGAAAGGAACTGTGGAAAATGGGACCAAGTGTCTCCTTGTCTTGCATAGATGAAGCTGATGGTGCACTGATAAACTCAAGAATAAAATCTTTCTAGTATTAAATCTAACAGGCTACTGATCATTATTTGGATGCAGGTTGTTACAAATGCCACACCATCGATTTGAGCAAGGATTTTTGATGGTCTTAAAGATTGATATAAGAGTAAAGAAGTCACATTTCAGCTCGTTCTGACCATCCCTATTCAAGTCACGCTTCAACACAAACCTTTACCATTACATTACACCTAACAGGTTAACACGATTAGCTTTTGAAATCAGCAGAGCACAGCTAGAGGTGGCTGTTACCTACCTGTGCTTGTGAAGGGTTGGCACCTCCAGCAGTAGAACATGCATTCATAGTCAGTACCGGGTATGGGAACTGTGAGGAAGGACAGGCAGGAGATGTCTTACTTCTCCCTAGTGCAGCACACTTGTTTTCTTGCTGATGGAGAGGAACACCGATCAGTTCGGACGGCTGCCGAATCAATGTTACTAAACTTAAGAAGAAACACACACACACACAAAAAGAAACAACACAAAAAACATACCAGACTGACTACCTGAAGATGAGCACAGGAAGATATACAGCTACACGTACTCCTAGTAACTACCAGCAAGAAACTACTTCCATTTACTGGAAAGAGAAATCATTCTTATTGCCATACTGCCTACTTCAGGGACAAAATAGCAGCTGAGAAGGTATTTCATTCCTTGCAGTAACACAGGCTTTATGCCTCAATAAAACATTTCATCAGCACACTAATACAGTTAGAGGGCCAGGGGTGAAGCAGTATCTTTGCTCAAAGTTTTCCCCGTAGCCAGGCCTCCATGTTATAACACTAATCAATAGCTCTTAATATTTTATAATGATTACAAAAATCTCCTTTGTTTTTAGCAAGCTGCATGTTAAATGTTCTTCTCTCACCTCTATTTACATTGCATGCTGTTATCAAGAATAAAGTTGTAAAGTAATTCAGCTTGGAACTATATGCTGCACCATTTATGCAACGTACAGAGGGGCCTAATCCGAGTCAGTGGAGCTGCAGCCACCTTTTACAAAGCCCAACCCATCATCCTCATGTATTAAAAAGAAATACTGTTCTTTTAGGTTTCATTTAGAAAATCAGTTCTGAACTCTACGGTGATACACAGTCTAACAACATAAACTAAAAGTAATTGCAACACACTTGTTAAGGGTTACTCCAGATTCTTGGGGTTCTTGACATCTGGGGTTTTCTGTCTGGATGCTGTTGAATCTGTCTTCCAACCGAACTCTGACTGCAGATTTAGACCTAGGCTCTGGTGCCAAATTTTCAACAAGTATGTTTCCTTTATTGCTCCCAACAAGATTTTCACCATGTTTAACTTTTACTAAACTCTGTCCCGGGACTTCTACAGAGCTACTGTTTGGCATTTTATCTGCTCGGCTCGAAGGGAGGTTAGACTCACTAAGTAACATCATTCTGAGCTCCTGAAGGTCAGCATAGCCCAGCCGTGGGTTAGCACTCGGCAAACTGCTGTCAGAAGGCAGCCCTGCCTGGCAGCTAACCGGGTACACCGGCGGGTTCCCAGGGCGGTTTGGGAAACACCCGTCCTGCGTGGTGTGCGGGGAGGTCTGCTGCAGGGGGGGGGCTGCACAGTCACCGGGCAGGGAGAAAGCACTGAGCCTGGCTTGCGCTTCACCTTCGCCAGCTTGTGCCTCGGCGTGTGAGTAAAGCATGTGCTGCAGCTGGGTGTACTCAATTTCCATCAGCTCCACCAGGCTGACGTCTGGGGCGGTGAAGCTAAGATTTTGCTCACCAAAGGAAACGGCACTTGAGCCTCCAGGTCCGACAGCAACCGGAGCGGGATCAGGAACAACACTAGGTGTGCTCTGAGGGACGGAGGTCTGAGGCTCCTCCGGGGCTGATCCTGACATGACTACAGTGAACCTAATCAGTTACCAACGTCTCTTTCAACGGTAAACCACAAACCCTGAAAGAATTAGCAGTGCTGTCCATTTAAAAAGGAAAACAAAAGGGACGTAAGAAAACCCCCACGCACTTAAAACACCGAGCTCCCAGCGCT